AAAAAAGTATATATAAAAAAATAAATGTTTTTCACTTTTTTGCCTTTTAGGAACCCAATAGAGTGAGATTATTTAATTTTTACCTCAATTTTTTTATGTACAAGTTTTCAGGAAACAAAGGGGTAACAGCTCTATTTTGAGGGTATATCACAAATATCTTTTGTCATCAAATTGTGCATGCTTTTGATTTATGTCATGTTTTATCAGCCTGAAATTTCCTACAATTTAAAAAGAAAACATATCTTCACAATAGGAGAGCGCCGACGCTGACACAGAACAGGGGCAATCTAGAAATTTTTAAAGGAGAGAAAGGATTATGATAATCAAGGAGGCCATAAAGGCGTCCTAAAATTGTAGGAACGACTGACGATACGGGCCTCAAGACAGACGATTTGTCTGTGCACTCTTGCAGAAAAAGGACACTTTATATTTGGGTGCCAATCTAGGTACCAGAAAATCAATTTGAGACAGCAAAACAGGACAGTCGATGTACTAATTTGTATAAAAATATGATCGATGCCTGCTCTATGCAATTTTCCAAAGGAGGGACACCAAATCTATTCAGTAATAATGAGTAGTCATATTGAGTAGTCATATCCTCTTGGAGAATAGACTCCATCACTCCTATAGCATAGATATTTCAGAAATGTCTTTTTCACTTCTTCAATATTATTTTTGTAGAGTTCATACATAGGGCTCCAAAAGGATGCACCGTATTCTAATTTACTTGTAACAAGCACTGAAAATAACTTAATAAGCGTTGTGATATTAAAATGTTTACAGTTTCAGATAATAAAGCCATATGTGAGATGCCATTACTTATAAATTCAAAATTGGAGGTAGTTAAAGGTGAGGTGACAATCGAAATACACGCGTAAATCTTAAAAAGACTCACACCGTTCCAAGACATAACCATTTATTTTGTATGGGTAAGTTGAATATTTCCGGCATTTGGAGTTGGTCAAATATACATTGTTATTGATACACCATACTTGTAAAAAAAATGTTTGTTATTGCAGGTTTTTAAAATGCTCGAAAGACATGACTAAAGCTTCAGGTCATCAGCATGATAATGACCTGCAAAGATCGTTGACGTATAAGGAAAGCAATAGGCAAATTGGAGCCTTGAGGTACACCACTACTTAACGTGTATGTGTAAGAAATAAATACACTATAGAACATGTAAACCCATTTTTTTGTATCAGTAGTTGATGGTCAATTTTGTCAAAAGCTTTTGTAAAATCAGTATATATGACCTGCACCTGCCCCTTATTGTCTACCGTTTCACATAAACATTGACTATGCGTGCCCAAATTAGTAATAGTGGATCTCTGCTTCATTGAGCCATGCTGATGCAGTGATAGATGGCCGTTAGCTGCCACGTATATGCGGGAATACAATATTATTTGAATATATATGTATACATATACGAGTATGTATCCAAAAAATTCTATTTCACGAACTACAAGCCAAACTGCTTGATGGGTTTTAACATACGAGTACGAAGTGTTGTTGGATTCGGCTGTAGTGCAATAATTTCATAAAAACAGAGTGGCAGATTTTAATAATAAAAATAAAATTTGAGATTTCTTTTTCTCGCACGTTAACTTAAACGGCTTGTTGGATTTTGGCATATTAGGTGTTATTGGATTTGTTCTGGCAGTGCAAGTACTATATTAAAATTATGCAAAAATAAAATATTAGATTTTAGTAAGGTTCAATCTTTCAATTCCTATTTCAGGGGCTACAGCTTAAGGGCCTTGATATATTTTGACTTATGAAGTGCCTCTAGATTTCTCTTGAAAGCACAATTAAATCTTCAGCCTTTTCAGTCGCGACACTCGCGTTGTTTGTATTTTTTTTAAACTGTACTTGTTCCGTGTTTGCTCAAAGTAGTCATATTACTCGAGAACCGATCGCGAGCTTCCACAGAGGCTCAAGTATAAAGACTTGTATTTCTAGTTTTTAGAAGCTCGCTAAGTTCAGCAGCAACAAATCATAAAAACAGAGTACAATGGAATGTATACAATTCAATCATTTCAATATTCAATAGGTATTCAAGGAAGCATCAAGTCTGATGACTAATTACTGAGCTATACTAACTACCCATTTATACGACCTTATGACAGCAAAAATAAACTACAGATGCACCATGAAAAGCATCAACGCATCTTAATTAGTGCAATGGTTGAGGGTACGGATCCTATGGATGCGAATTCCGACAAAATTTAGTTGTAACGGGTACGTCCGAGATCCTCAGAAGACGTTTTGGTAGTCAGTAAGTCCCTGCTGTGCAGCAAATATGTTTGACGAACTGTATTCCCTTGTAAGGCGTTTACTGAAGTTGATGTTTTTAAATGGTAGAAAAAACACATGTCAATCCAATTTTCTAGTTGTATGTATGTAGGGCGGTGGCTTTGAACAAAATCCCAACAGCAAAAGTTTTTTATAATTTATGATATGTACATGGTGCTTCATACCACTACCTTTCTTAATTTTATCCAGAATGGATTTTCTGTTAAAACTCAATGATATCTGATCCTCCAAAATTAATCTTTATAAACATAGGGTTCATTTCTTGTGCATTAAAAGAAAGTATGGTTTAAGGCTGCTACTTTTGTGTTGTCACAGCCGCAACAATTATTCTCAATGATTCCCATTCTGGAAAGGTGGTCTCCGAATCTACCATGATTTAGTTTATACCTGTATTTCGTTATAGGGTTAAATAGAATCTTCCGACTTGATAATCAAAAATGACCGGTAAAGAAGGATTGATTAGTAGATATGAGTCTCTGGAGTTGCTACATTGTATCTAGTAGCAATGATAAGGGAGATAAAGGAGAGATTGGAAGATTATTGATAATTTTTGTCTCTCACATCTCATATCCCACAGTAGACTGTTCTGGTAACAAAATTTCGTCAGCACCCGCATACATAGTAAATGTAGCGTAAAGTGGGTATTCATCAATGCCTTACATTTGTGAAGTAGTGCTGAAGTGACACTTGGTGTATATCACGAAGGTGCAGCTGTGTAGTTTTTTATGTTTTGGCGTACTCAGTCGCATCTAGCAGCTGTTTCTCATATTTTGGCATTAGTCTGTTGCGAATAGTATCCATGTATAAATACCCCCCGAATTGTATTAGAAGGAACTGCCCACACTATCTGGGATATTTTCCGAGATATCTGGAAATGCGAAGAAAACTTTAGTGCCTTCATTACGACGGCTCCACTTTATTTCACAGAAATAAAACTTATCGTGGAGGAAGTAGTGAATAATACCTCACTGTTAAATAGTGGTGCTCAAATAGCACCTCTTGAGGATCCTATCCACGAGAGTTTGCAAATTTCGCAGTGCCAAATTTGTGATGTTCCCAATTTTGCTATGGCCAAAATGATTTGAACAGTGATTTTGCAGTGTTTTAGCATTTTTTAGATCCAGTGTATTATCTGTACTAACTTCGTGTTAACATGAAGACCGAAACACCCTATATTTTAATGAAATATCTACGTTTTCCAGAACATTTTCTAGATAACCTAGGAATACAAAGAAAACCGCATTAATCATCAGCGCTCGCATGATGCTCATTCCATTTTGTTGTAACTGAAAGAAATTTTGAATGGAATAATTGACGACCAATACCTAACTTTTATAAAGTACTACTTGTGCACCAAATCTCATTCCAGTAGGAGAACGTACAGTGTTCGGTGGATTCTCGGGTGTTCAGTTAATGTGATGTTTTAGATGTAGGCTAATACCAAATCTGGTAAGTTAATAATGGGTAACTCTAAGAGAGATGTTCTGGAAAGAGAACAGGTGCAAAAACGGCTTTGAGGTTATCAATATGCTGTGAATGTTGCTCGACATTTGAATCTTTCGCAACTCAAACTGCACGTTAAGCCCAAAAAAGTATTTTTATTTTTAAATTATGTAACTTTCGAGGTTTTTGCAATGACCGAGTCAAATATAACAACATGGATGGAAAAATAAAATAAAGAAATTGGTACAAACATTTTAGAGCAGGCAAAATCTCCGACGAATGAATACATTTCATATTTGTCAGGGTTTGGCGTTGTTATAGTCGACAAATTGGTAAATTATCTAACTGTTTTTTAAACATGCTTCAAGACTGAAGCAATCAATTGGTTATGTAATCGAATAAATGTTTGATAAGCTGTCATTCTCAAGGGCACCTATGAAAACATTGATTTTAAAATAACTGATATTTTGCAATTACTTTATCGAATTAGATTTGAATAAGCTCTGTTTACCTGTCTCAAAATCAAATTTGACACCCATAAGAACAAATAAACCTGATGCGCCATAATGAAATACTTATTGTGTCACCCTGTAGAGAAGAAAGGGTGGATAAGTGTCTTGCCTAACAAACCATTTTCATAACCTGTACATTTCGATTATACACTCTCCTGGTGGTCGATTTTGATGATTATGGCGGTTTGTGCTGTATTATGTCGATGAATATCCTATGTATTAAAAGCAAATTATATACCTCTATATGTACATCACTTTCATGACAAAATTCGCTATTTATTATTTATTTTTTTACTTTTGACTATTAACTGACTGAAGCATTATCCAACGTATCCTGTATCATATCAAGCTGGCCAGATGGTTAACCAGCCTACGTATATTTGGCCCGTCTAGCATAACGTAGAATATCATGTGGAGCCAATATTGGCTTCCAGTGCCAGAAGTGTCTTATGTTCTGAAAACCAATCAAGTGATTTCTTCACTTTGCTCGCCCATCACCATGGCAAGCAAAATGATACTAAATTGAAAGTAAATAGTGATTTCTGTGTTCTAATATAAACAGGCGTATTTCAGACGGTTTTACATAACTTTGCTGCTAATCATGTCCTTGAGACACTCAAGGTTATTTCCAAGTGCTGCTCCACCACTGGCTCCCTAAAAATCACCGTCAAACCTTTAAAAACAATCATCCTGCGATCCGTCCGGAGCCGTCTGCGCGCCGGTTCCAAAATGGCCGTCTGGCCGCCGCCTCTTCTGCCCCCATTGGCGGGGGCGGTCCGGGGGCGGCTGCACTTGGAGGCGGGGCTTGCAGCGGAGGCGCCGCGACGTCTACTAACGGCAGACGCCGTCTTCGTGCGGTGCAGACGCGTCGACGCCGAAAACGTCCGAAAACCGGATCTCCTTTTTCCTACTACTACACCCAACACCGCGACGACTCTTTTTGGGGCACAAGGGCCGCTACATACAACACACGGTAAGAGTTTCTGAATTGTGGAATGTTTGATGTTTTACCAAAAAAGTTAGTCCGATGTCAGGCGACAAGGATCTAAGATTGTGTCACAGCAGAGGACGTCAGCTGGAGAAGATTGAAAATTACTGTAAAGCGCTAAGATATTTATTAAAATCGGAACATTGAAAATTATTATTTATAGATACGTTCAATGGCAGGTTTCAAAATGCGTGTCTCCTATTACTCGATCATATAAGACATGCACAAAATCAATACTTGGAGGTTTATGTAAATCTTTGTCCACGCCCAATAGTAATAGACAATTAAAAAAAATATGTCACCTTAAATTCATTTACTTCCTTCTCTGTCCAGAACAGATTAAACTGGAAAATGTAAGTAACATATTAAATAATGAATCCGGGTAATTGATTTTTATATAGATCTCAATTAAACGGAAGCTTATGTAATGAACAAAAAACTTAAAGCTTTACTTAAAAATGAGGTCACGACATAAATGAACAAAAGGTACAAAAATAGCTATTTTGGTATATCTTGCATCAACATTGTCTAGTGTGACCTCTCAAATTGCCACATCACAAACGTCAAAAGTCGTTATTCAAATTCCGCCCCGATTTTCAAAACGACAGACAGACAAAACGAGCCACAGATAAGTAAATAGATCGACTCAAATAGGACATATATAATTCACCGCCAGGACAAACGTTCGTAAATTATGCATGGGAAGCTTACATATATGACTATTTTGTTCACATATATCAATGAAAGCAGATATTAAAAAAATGAAATCCCCAAAAAATACCTAAAAAATAGCGCCAAGTAGCAGTCCAAATATTCTAAAATATATACCTATCACATACATTATTATACCTTTTCGAAGACAACTTGCAAATACTATTTAGAAAACGACCAAAAAATATTAAATAAATATCTTATCAAGTTTTCAATTTTTTTACTGCAGCAGTATTTGATTTTTTATGAACCTTTTTTTTGTTTGGACTTATACATTTTATGAAAATGATCAAAGAACAAGCGCATACTATCAATTATATACTTAGAAACATATTTAGAGCCTTGAATCACTCGAAAAAATAGTTCATCAGACCCACAGTTAGTTTCTGGTCAAAAAAAGTCACAAAGACTTTTTGAGGAAAGTTTGAATAATGATCTTTTATAATCACGAAAATCATTGAAGGGCGTCATATCTGTGTATTTTGAAGTTTGAGTGACATATATATGTATTTGTTCTAGATAATGGACTCTTCCTTTGCGTTTCTCATCTTGAAGTGATATTCAACTCTATTGCCGGAATAAGTTTCCGGCAATACCCACAGCTTAGTCTAAGATCCACAGTCACTATCCAACATGGTGATTGGCTGGTAAGTCTGTTACACAAATCATATAACCACACGGACGAAGCATGCTCCTAATAAATACACTCAACATATTATCTAAAAGCAACACAATTGCAACAATCTCATAATTTTCTGGTAAAAAATGTGTCACTTTATCTCAACTCTCTCTCCCTTCTTGAGAAACATAAAAAAATTTCATTATGAATATCGTGTATATTTGGGTGCCAAATATTGTATTGTACAATTTTATGATAATAATTTATAGTACAGCTATTTTTTAAAAAAAACAAAAATTACAAAATTTAAGACGGCGACAGGTTGGAGTAAAGTAACAGTGAGGACGACCTTGCAAAATTTTACCACATGGGCCAATGAGTACACATGTTTACCAAGCGAAATTTATGATTTTTCTTAAATATTGTACAGGTCCATAGTACAGACAAACTTGTCGTCACCCTCCTGACGTCTTAGAGAATGTGACAAAAATGATTTAATTTGTGTGTGGTGTTTTCTAGAGCTTTCCTACTAAATATACCTATACAGGGTGACTTGTAATGTCACGTATTCCTGTTAAGGGGTGATAGATTAGGTCAAAAGCAACCGATTTTGTCCTATAATGTCCTATCCAGAAGTTAACCGTTTTTGAGTTATTTGAATTTTATTTTTTTTAATTTTTATTCCGATTTCAGACGGTTAAATTTGAAATACAAAAAAACTACATGTTTGACTTTTAGTTTTTTGTTATCGTCGCATAGCGGACATTCCACTAGTTCATAATAAGTAATAAAATGTTCAAAACTTACAAAAGTTTTAAAATTACGCTTTTGAAATGTACGATTTTCTTATTCGATAAAAAATGCAATTTTCTGTAAAAAAATCTCCTAGTAATGAAATGTGCAAATTATGTAAATAATATCTCTAACTAACAAGTTTTCATTTGAGGTATAAAAGTTACAACTAACTCAAGTACAAAGACATAAAATTAAAAAAAGATGAGTAAAGTTGTACGAACGATAATTACGTAGGATAAATAAAAGGCTTTTATTTTAATTACAGTTTTATTTAATTACATTTCCTTTAGTATTTTACAGATTCTGCTCAAATTGTAATCCCCTGTTACGAATACACGCCCGCATTCTCTTACGTAATTCACTTTTGGTAACTCTAGTTGTTAAGCGGCTTCTTATTTGGTCAGCTGCACTGATTATCCTTGTAATTAATTCATCGCGCGTTGGTACGGGCGAAACATCGTACACCAGGCTTTTCATATGTCCCCACACATAGTAGTCCATCGGTGTGAGATCTGGGCTTCTTGCTGGCCAGGGAATGGGTCCGCCTCTGCCAATCCATTGATTTGGAAATTTAGAGTCTAAATACGCCCGTACTAATCTACTGTAGTGTGCGGGACAGCCATCGTACTGGAACCGCATATTTTGTCTCGTCGCCGATGGGACATCTTCCATTAATGGAAACAAGTGATTTTTCAAGAACTCTTCATACACTTCTCCATTTAAATTGGCGGGCAGAAAATGAGGTCCAATTAAATATGCATCAATGATGCCCATCCACACATTGACTGAAAACCGGCTCTGAGACCCCGTGGGTCTTATTTTTCGGGGGTTCAAAGCTTCTTTATCAGCCAAGTAATGAGCATTATGGTAGTTAGTGATCCCGTCCTTATCAAACTTCGATTCATCGGTCCACAGAATTTTCTTAAAATAGTCTGGATCTTCTGTATCTGCATGTAACATGTACCTGCAGAAATCTAATCGTCTTGCAGGATCGCCCTCTTCAATCACATGCACAGGCGTGTAGTGATAAGGGTATAATCTTGCAGTATGCACTGTAAACCATACTTTTAATTGTGATATACCCAACTGAGCAGCCACAATGGGCGTAGACGTAGTAGGGTCTTCTTGAAACACACGAGAGATTTCCTATTCATCTTCAGGAGGATAGACTCGGGGTCGACCAGCATCACTATGTTGCCTTTGAACACGTCCGGTTTGGCGGATGCGCCGATACACAGAGTCAAACACAGTAACATGAGGTTTTCGGCGATTCGGGAAACGTTGCCGATATTCACGGGGGCAGCTGTAGAATCGCCGTTACACAGTCCATAACAAAACATTATGTCTGCATATTCTTCATTTGTAAAAGTTTGCCCGTGATCGCTAGGGCGAGGTCCTGGCGGATCTTCTGCGTCTGCCATGATGATAAAAAAACCACTCGAAATGAACTGGGAAACTCGAAAATAATAATCGTGCGTAAAACGTGTGCGCCTACGCAGTAGTTGATTCCAACTAAACCTAATTCTCACTCGGCGTTCGGCGATGGCGTAACTACAATGACGAATAATAACAGCTCTCTCTCTTTCACTCCTCCACTAAGTCAGCTCTTCTCGCTCGCTTCCTCGTCGAGCCGATGCCATAAAACAATCATGGCATGCGTGTCCTTTGAGGACAGTAACGACTTGTTCAAACAGGTAATACAAATTCCTTAAAAATCCAGCCTCTGTGGGTGTCATTGTTGTTTCTCTGCATGTACTTTAGATAATTGAACGCTTAACCCCTCAAATGAAAGCTTGTTAGATAGAGATATTATTTACATAATTTGCACATTTCATTACTAGGAGATTTTTTACAGAAAACTGCATTTTTTATCGAATAAGTTAGTAAAAAAAAGAAAATGATACATATAAGAAGCGTAATTTTAAAACGTTTGTAGCTTTTCAACATTTTATTACTCATTATGAACTATTGGAATGTCTGCTATGCGACGATAACAAAAAACTCAAAATCAAGCATGCAGTTTCTTTGTATTTCAATTTTAACCGTCTGATATCGGAATAAAAAACTTAAAATTCAAATAACTCAAAAATGGTTAACTTTTGGATAAGACATGATAGGACCTAATTTGACCTAAACTATCACCGCTTAATAGGAATACGTGACATTACAAGTCACCCTGTTTACCTATCTAAAACAGTGCGCGTTTGTTAATGCTAAAAGAATATTGTTATTTGTAGGGTGATTTTCTTTTGTTGTCGTTCATTGATTGACAAAGTTATATCATCAGATATTAGTCCTCCATATCTACAAGCGTTATGTCAAGGAATTGTAGAGAGCCATATGTTACTAACTCTTTTGAGTATCAATACAGCGAGAAAAAGAGCGTGTCGCCTCAAAGTAACAAAGAAAACATACAAGCTACAAGTGGTTTTCAAAAATTAATGAAATATTATGTAATCGCAAGCCACAACAGGTGTCAGCTTCAAGTGAAAAAGAACCTCGACTACAAATATGCACAATCTAGCTGTTGATAGCCTATCACAATGCCCGTAACAAGAAACAGGGTGCATCAGATATATTTGAATAAGCTTAAGCTCACAAAATAAAAAACAAGAGATTCGTCTGGCCAATTCTACTACTTATTTGTCTAATATCATCCATACATTTTTGTGCATTTGGACCGTAACGTCAAACAGCATTGGAAACATCAAGAATTTTCCAGCAAGAAACTCCCGGCAACAGAGTGGAAAAAAGTCGACGATACAACCGCCGAACGTAATTTGTCCTGTCCTGTGTATATCTAAATCCCTCCAAATAACACAAATCCGAGCTTAAAACCGCTATCGGTCGAGAGCAGCGAGCGGCAAAGAGGATGAAGTCGGCTCTCCCTGTCGTCATAAGCGGAATCTGCAGACTTGGAGTTACGGAACGGCGGAAACTCCCCCACCGTTTAAGCTCCGGTTACCAGAATGCGATCTGACGATTGATGCGCTACCACCAAAAGAAAACACATTTTTATCGGCCTTGATTTATAAGCAATAAGCTAATAGCTATAAGAAAGGGCACCATGGGAGAGATATTTTCAAGAAAAATTGCATTTTTATTGAGAAGTTATTTTAGATAGAGCCTATATTGATGTATGGGCATGTCAAAGTTCTTAAGGAGGATATACAGGGTATTAAGGAAATGATATTCTTAACTTTAAGTGGTTATTCCTTGCATTATTATAAGCAAAAAAGTTCATTATAACTTACGTCCGAAAATCAATCGTTTTCGAGGAAAGTGAGTCGTAAATAATTAAATTTTCTTAAACATTTGGCAACGCTGCAACGCAACAGCGATACGAGCGCACGTCGACCGCAACTGATTCATCGAATTGTTTATATGATGTTTTTGCTAAAAAAGGGCCTTAAATTATTAAATACTTTTACGCATTTTTTTGTGGGTAATATTTTTTATTTAATAACCCTTTCAGTTCAGTACATTTACTAAAAAAAATGACAGAACTTACCGGTACGTGGCGATACACACCACCAATTTCCACGATTATCAGTCACTTATTTGAAACGTTGCGATGCACGAAAAAAGAAAATAAATAACATCCGTAAATCACATAAAGTAATCACAATAGATGTTCAAAATGCGAACAATGGGCATCTACGCAAACTTGACACCGTCGAACCCAACTTTCTCTAACTCGTAGAAAAATATTCCAGGCATATCACTTATTTCATTAGCGGCGGTCACAAGACGCTCCCTTAAATCATTCTCATCCCTTATTTCAGAGACGTAAACTAGATTTTTCATGAATCCCCAGAAGAAAAAATCTAATGGATTAAGATCGGTTGATCTAGCCGGCCAGGCACTTGCACCTTTTCTTCCTATCCACCTGTTCCCATAGGTATTATTGAGATGTTTCACAACTAACGTGTGCTATAGGCACCATCGTGCAAGTACCACATATTCATTCTTGTTTGCAATGGCACTTCTTCCAACAAAACTGGCAAATTGTCTCTTAGAAAAGCTAAGTAGCTCTCACCGTTCAAGCGATGTGGCAAAAAAATCGTCCTATTAATTGGTCACCAATGATTCCATCCCACACTATAACAGAAAATTGATACTGCGATTTTTTCTGTGCAATTGCATGAGGATTTTCGTTCGCCCAATTACGAAAATTCTAAATTCCATTTCTTTTAAAGCAAGACTCATGTTGACAACACGTTCCCTAAAAAATTGTGATTTCTTTGGTGGTTACCCAAAAACCAATTACAAAAATTTGCTCTTCATGGAAAAGCTTCAGGCGAAAGAGCTTGAACCCTCTGGACATGATATGGGTACAAAAACTGTTCTTTAAGGGTCCGATGTACAATCCAGTGTGAGACACCGACTTGACGAGCAATACTTCTCGTACTCGTCAATTAAATTCAAAATTTGTTCTTCAGTTTCCACTCCAACTTCACGGTGTCTTCCACAATTGTTAAAATTATGCACTACGCTCTCTGTATCCAGAAGTCTTTGGGATACTTCTACGAATGTTCTTCTAGCTGGTAGATTTCGATCAGGAAAACGTTCTTCGTAAATGCGTCTAGCCTCTTCAGACTTGCAATGAGCCTCTCCGTAAATAATAAGCATATCGTGATACTTGCATACCGAAAACACCTCTTTCGTATCAAAATGAAC